TTCCCCAGTCCGTCCCAGTGCCCTCCCAGTTCCCTCCCGGGACCCCCTGGTGCCCGCCAGCAACCTCCCAGTAACCTCCCAGTCCCCATCCAGTTTCTCCCTGTGAAAAACGCCAATCACTTGTTTTTAAAATTTTTAAAAGTTTAATAGTAATAAAATGGTTAAAAAGAATAGTAACACGATTAGAGTAATAACAATTTGGACAAATTGAATTAGGACAATATGAGACAATAAAAGCAAAGAGTTACAGACGTCCGGGTACCTTTTGCTGGGCAGCACAAGCCCGAAAAAGGGACCCCCGTTAACAAAGGATTAACCCTTAAGAACAATAGCCCATTGCATATTCATACACGTCATACATGATGCATAAATTCCATTCAAACACAGGATTCTGTCTGGTCAGTATCAGCTCCTTCCTTCTAATCCCAACAGCGCCTCCAGGCGGGAAGAAATTCATTTCTTCTGATAAGAGGGCAATAAATTCTTTTTCTCTGAAAGATCTAGGTGTCCTGAGGCTGCTATCTTGCTGCAAGCCCTTTCTGTTAAACAAAGCGTCTTACATAGCACAGTTTCTATTTCAACAATTTTTATAACCTAAAACTATATTTAACACAGTGCTTAAGAAAATTAATACAGCATTACTTTCTAACACAACACATATAATATTCATTTTAATATTTGCGAAAAGCCAATCATAAAATACATGCATTTTTCACATCCCAGTCCATCCCAGTCCCCATGAATCCCCTCCCAGTGCCCTTCCAGTTACTCCCAGTCTCCTCCCAGTGCCCACCAATTACCACCCAGTAACTTCCCAGTATGTCCCAGTATGTTCAAGTCCCTCCCAGTCCTATTCAGTCCACACAAACCAATTCCCAGTCTCTGCCAGTCACATCCCAGTGCTCCCAGTATCCCCTCTAGTTTCTTACAGTTTCTCTCAGTCCATCCCAGTCTCCTCCCAGTAGCTCCCAGTATATTCCAGTCCCTCCCAGTCCCCTCCAGTGCCAACAAACCCCTTCCTAGTCCATCCCAGTTGCCACCAGTGCCTCCCAATGTCCCCCAATATCTTCCCGGTTTATTGCTGTTCCCTTCCCAGAACACCATGTTTATCCCAGTCCATTCCAGTGCTCCCAGTCCCTTCCAGTGCCCACCAGTCCCTCCCAGTTCTTCCCCAGTGCTTCCCAGTCCTTCTCAGTTCCCTCCCAGTACTCTCCACTGCTCCCAGTTTCTCTAAATCCCTTCCAGTATCTCCCAGTGCCTCCCAGTCCTCCCCAGTCTTCTCCCAGTCCTTCTAAGTATGGACCAATCCCCTCCCAGTTTGTCCCAGTGCTCCCAGATTCCCCTCCCAGACCTCCCAGTTCCCTTCCAGTGACTTCCAGTCTCCTCCTGGTGGCTCCCAGGATCCCCCAGTGTCCACCAGTAACTTCCCAGTTCCCCCCAGTACATCCCAGTCCCATCCAGTGCCCACAACTCCCTTCTCAGTGTATTCCAGGTTGCCATCAGTCC